TTACTTGAGAATCGGACATAATGTTGGTTTTTCTTTATGTTTAGGGGGCTTTTTTTCTTTAGCGTAAGAAAAAAAATGCAAAGGTTCATTTTATTCAAAGTTGGTAACAATAATGCTGCGCTTTTTTTTTCTTGAAATTGTAATTTGTATTTTAAATAACGTTCTATTTTAATGGCATGCCAAAATTGATGCGACTTTTCCTTGACATCATAGTTGTTTACAAGAAAGAAGCAATAGCATTCTTATCGAACATTTCAATCTATATAGGCCCTGGTGCATTCTACAGTCGATTTGCTGGTTTTTTCGTCTACATTTCAAATGATACTTCCAAAGACAACGGTATTGAATGTTTTCATGAAATACAGAAAAATAACGGTACACCCACAGAAAACCAAACTATAAGTTGTCCATTTGACGGACGTTATGTGATATACTACAACGAGAGGAGAGCTGGCTATCACTATCCAGACTACTACTCCGCATTTGCTTTTAATGAATTGTGTGAATTTGAAGTTTATGGTGAGTTTTGCATTTTCTGTTTCTGTTATACATGTAGATATACAACATGGATGTTTATAAAAGAAATAAACAATGATAACAGTGATATTATCTTTTTGGAACAGGATGTCCTAATTCTACATACTATGGAAAATATTGCGAACAATCGTGTTCGGACAGTTGTCTTGGACAGAGGTGTAATTTCTTAACAGGGAACTGTCTCATGGGATGTTCAAGTGGATATGAGGGGCCTCAATGTAGACAGAGTAAGTGGTGAATTAATATGCAGGTTTATTTTTGTGTAGGTAATAAATATATTACGTTTTAAGCAAAAACAGATGCAAAACTCTAGTGAAAGTTAGTACAAGTTATTTACTAATTTATTTGTTAACAATTTTTATTAGAACCTTTCCGAAATAAATGTAATGAAATATATGACACAGAGAGGAAATATATACATGTGTACATTGTGTTTGTCTATTTCTTTTAACTTTCTGCATCGCATGTATTTGTTCTGATAAGTTGTGTTATACATGTATACATTGTACACCATAGTAAATAACTAACTCAGAGAGCGATATTTTTTTTCTTAAACGCGGATCTTATATGTACAATACAATTAATCATTCTATAATTATCAAAAAGAATGTGACGGTGGAATGTTTGGAGCAACCTGCAGTCAAAAATGTGGTCATTGTTATGGTAATACACAGTGTCATCATATCAACGGCACATGTCAAGCAGGATGTTCTGCCGGATATGTTGGATCTCTTTGCAACAATAGTAAGAAAAACTATATCGTCAACGTCTAATAAAGATCAGTGTCAAGTTTTTTCTCAATCACGTAAATATTGTGTTAATGGCATTGCATGAAACGCCAACTAAAATGGTAAACACATTTGGCATATTTGATTTTCTGGGAATAGACATTGACAGTTGACATACAGATGTATAGAAAAAAACAAAAATCATTCCAATTAGCTTTTTATATGAGATTTACTAAATACTGGATACTTTTTGGTAGAATGTGTGGGTGGAACCTACGGATTGATGTGTAACAAAACTTGTAAACTCTGTTCTGATGGATCAAAATGTCACCATGTGAATGGTTCATGCGTGAATGAATGTTCTTCAGGATATAAAAGTCCTTTCTGTATCACAGGTAACTGATTGACAGCGTTTTCAGATACATATATTTTGTTGCATTATCACACCAACTAATGATTTCATTCCTCTTTTAAGAATAAAGAGTGAATACATGAACGTATGATTATTTTTCTTGCATTTATCAAAAGTACTTATATATACGTGTTTACTCATTAATAATTTTTTAGACGTGCTTAGGATTTGATCATAAAAATATCATATATTTTAAGAATGTGACAGTGGATTGTTTGGCGATGGTTGCAGGCAGACTTGCGGTCATTGTGTTGGTAACGTAGCGTGTCATCATATCAATGGTTCCTGTCTACAAGGATGTTCTGCCGGATACGAGGGTCCTGTTTGTAAGAAAAGTAAGAACTAGGAATATTTGGTACACTTGCTTAAAATATAAACATTGGACCAACTTTAAAATAATGTATGCTTAGCCTCTCTAGACTTGATGGTAAAATATTTCGTCGTTAGGTGGGGGAAAATCTTTTTTCCAGAACATATTTGTTGACGGAATATGATACAATGTACATATATAAAAAAAGAACATGAAAAGTTAATCCATTTTTAGTCATCGATGTGGATTGAAATATGTTTACTTAAGTTTGAAATGATGCAAATAAAGCAGACAGAATATTTTTTTTAATTGAATTTTTTTTTATGATGTTTGAATTGATGTGATTTATATATATACTTTCTTTAATATACTTATTTATTAATAACTTCACTTGATGAAATGAAAAAAAGGGCTTTCTGTTGAAAGTGTGCCATATTTCAACCGAGTTAAATGTCTTGATTAAACACCTTCAAGTTGTTTTAACCTCCAGGTATATATTTAAAATTAATTTTTGTTACCTTGTCCAATTATTAACTATTTCAGCTTCAAATTTGCGTTTAAGAGTAAAAAAGACTCCCCTACATATCTTAATGTTTTTGATTTTTCCTGAGCCAGGAAAGGACAAGTTTACATTTAAAAAAATACATGATTTGTATTGTTTTTATTTACAGAATGTGACGGTGGGAGATATGGTTTGAACTGTGCCAAGAGCTGTGGTCACTGTCGTGACGGCTCACAGTGTCATCATATCAATGGAACGTGCTTGACAGGCTGTTCTCCCGGATACAACGGATTACTCTGCATTAGTGGTTATTTATATTAATTAAACTTTATTTCTTATTAAAAACGAAAATCAGCCATGAGCACTTTATACACTATAACATGTTCCAAAGCAAATCAAAAGTAAAATGTCAATATTATTTGAATTTTAATGTTCTTTCTGTACCTAAATCCTGCAAAGATGAATAATTGAATATGTATCTAAAAGTAGCAACACACAAAGCCCTACAAAACTACTCTATACTTAATATATATTATACACAGCGAAAGAAATCAAGAGATCTAAAATGTAATTTTATAATGAATTTCCTGATTTATATTACTTAGAATGTAATGGTGGGACCTATGGTAATAACTGCAGCCAAAGCTGTGGAAATTGTCTACAGGGTACACAATGTCACCATGTTAATGGTACCTGTTTACAAGGGTGTTCAACTGGATACAAAGGATTGGTTTGTACACAGCGTAAGAAACCTTTTTCATGCTTTAAATTTAGATTCTTTTATTTTTCTTTATTCTTTTCAACTCTTAGCAGATTACCTTATTTCGTTTCCTTTTTGAAATGTTGATTTTTTATTTACGACTATATGATCAAAGAATAGGGATCATATCATATCGTGCCTGACAGGATGTTCTCCCGGATACAACGGATTACTCTGCATTAGTGGTGATTTATATTAATTAAACTTTATTTTGTCTAATTAAACGCTCAGAGCAGGCATGATCAATGAACAACAAGATCAAAAGTAAATCAAGAGTAAAATGTCAACGTCATCGTGTATTTTGTTCATTAAAAAAGTCAACAGTAATTTAAATGCATTTTTTTGTATTATGTTTTTAAATAATTCCTGCAAAGATAAACCCTAAAGTAGTAATTTTACAAACTATTTTTAAAGAACTTACATGTTTCTTAAAATCTGCCAGTATTAAACTTCAAATTCAGCCCTTTAAAAATACTCTATACTTATTATATTAAACACAGGTAAAAAATATCAAAAGATCTTATATGATTTCTTATTATTACTTAATTTGTTTAACTTCAGGGCCGTAACTAGGGGTAAAAGATAGAGGAGGCGGGGGTTTGGGGGCCGCCGATTGAGGCCCCAAAGATCAGGGGGTGTGGGTGGCGAAGCCCCCCGCATAAAAAATTGCTTCAAACGGCTCAATTTTGGACCATTTCCTTGATTTTGAGAATGCTTACCACTTTATTATATTACCTATTTATGTACTATTTTGGATAGATATGATCAAATAATGGAGACGTTTTCATTATGCGATATAAGTGAAAAATTCTTGAGCGGGACGTAAAACAATCAATAACCAACCAACTAACGTTAACTCACAATACTCATCTGATGCTTCAATTGAATTTTAACTTCTGAATGTAAATATAAACAATGATAAATACGAAACTGACTTTTCCCAAGAAAAAGATAAAATTATTTAAGTCAATAGGGGTATCTGGGAAGATCGTACCCGTCGATTCATTCTGAATAGTTTTCACTGTACTAAATGCAGTTCTAAAATAATCGATCGCCGTAGTTCGAATTTCGCTATGGGACATGGGGACTGGTCCTTCGGATGAGACCGCATAAAGTTAACCGAAGCCCCGTGTCACAGCTGTGGCAGGATAAAGATCCCGCTCTGCTCAATGGCCCTGAACGCCGAGCATAGGTAATGGTGACACTCACTGGATAGCTGAAAAATTGCTCAGGTGGCTATAATCAAACAAATAAATGATCAATCTTGATCCAGCTGCTTGTGTTCTGTTTCTTATTTCCAAAAAAAAAAAAATGAAAATCTAGAGGAGGCAATTGCCTCCGTTGCCTCAATGTAGTTACGGCCCTGCACTTAGAATGTAGTGGTGGAATGTACGGTGTGAACTGCAGTCAAAGCTGTGGAAATTGTCTTAATGATACACAGTGCCACCATGTTAATGGTATCTGTTTACAAGGGTATAATTTGTAAAGGATATGAGACAGAAGAATATTTAGCAATAACAAAAGCATGTAACACTTTAAAAACAAGGTTTTTCACTACTAAACAGATTACCCTGGCTATTTCCTTTTCTTTAGATATGCTACCATTCATATTCGACAACATGATCAATAGATAGGGATCATGTAGAAATATTTCTTGTTTTGCTTATAAACAGAATTAACTGTAAACTTAAGACAAACATCGAATAGGAAAATAAGAAAAATCGACGTTCCGCGGCGCTTCTTTATAAGCTTGATTAAATTTACTTTTATATTGTTAAATTACTACACAGTATCAACCCAGTTTCACTTATTTATTTTGCTATCGGTAAAATGTTCACATTAAACCAAATCAACTTAAGAAAAACTGTTTTAAAGAATGTGACGGCGGGATGTATGGTAATAACTGTAGTCAAGAGTTGTGGTCGTTGTTTGAATAGTACACATTTTAACTTCTAAAACCATTGCACCAATTTCAACCAAATTTAGCAAAAAGCATTTATGAGTAAAGGGGAACAAAAATTGTGAATTTCATGGTCCCTTCCCCCTAGGGCCTGAGGGGTGGGGCCAAAACCACAAAAATTAAAGCAGTCTTTAAAAACCTTCATTTTTACTCCTGGACATCAAGCAGTCAAACTGTTTGCATGATTGTAATCAGCATTGCGTCTTCTACCAAAATTGTGAAATTCATTTCCCTGGGATCAGGTGTTCTAGTGCTACGGCGAGGCTAAATGTAAATAGATTATATAGTGAAAATGTATAAATTCTTTAAAAACTTCTTCTCTGCTTCTGGGCATCAAATAAACAAAATAAGTATATAATAAGGCTGCTTCTATCAAAATTGTGAATTTCCTGGCCCTAGGGTCAGGGTTATGAGATGCTAGGGTGGGGCTCTATTGATTAAATAGTGAAATTGCAAAAACTCTTTGAAAATCTTCTTCTCTACTCCTAGGCATTAAATAAACTACCTAAGTACATAGTTATGTTGAAAAGGGCTACCTCTTGCAAATTTGTGAATTTTAGGACCCCTGGGTCTGGTGTAAGGGTGGTGCTATAAGAGTTGTATATAGTAAAATGCATGAATTCTTTAAACATATTTTCCTTTGCTCCTGGTTCATATGCCAATTACAATTTACATTTTTAAGGCCATTTTTTTTTATTTTAAAGTTTTTGAATTTTCAGAAAAAAAATTAAACATTTTTAGGTCACCTGAGTAAACTCAGGTGACCTATTGCTATCTGTTTTCGTCCGTCGTCGTGCGTTGTGCGTTGTCCGTTAACATTTGAACATTTTCAGCTTCTTCTCTGCAACCACTGAACCATTTTCAACCAAATTTGGCACAAAGCATCTATGGGTAAAGGGGAACAAAAATTTTTAATTCCATGATCCCTGCCCCCCTGGGGCCTGAGGGATGGGACCAAAACCACTAAAATTAATGCAATCTTTAAAAATCTTCTTCTTTACTCCTGGACATCAAGCAGTCAAACTGTTTGTATGATTGTAACCAGCAATGAGTCCTCTACAAAAATTGTGAAATTCATGGCCCTGGGGTCAGGGGTTCTTGTGCTAGGGTGGGGCTATATAAGTAGGTAGTGAAAATGCATTATTTCAGGGGTTCTTGTGCTAGGGTGGGGCTATATAAGTAGGTAGTGAAAATGCATTATTTCTTTAAAAATCTTCTTCTCTGCTCCTGGGTATTAAATAAACAATCTAGGTACATAGTTATGATGAGCAAGAGTGCCTCTTTCAGATTTGTGAATTTTATGGCCCCAGGGTCAGCGGTTCTGGTGCTAAGGCGGGGCTCTATTGATTATATAGTGAAAATGCATTAATTCTTTGAAAATCTTCTTCTCTGCTCCTGGGTATTAAATAAACTAACTAAGTACATAGTTATGATGAGTAAGAGTGCCTCCACCAAAAATGTGAATTTTGTGACCCCAGAGTCAGGGGTTCTTATTTAAGGGTGGGGCTCTAATGATTATATAGTGAAATGCATGATTTCTTTAAACATCTTATCTTTTACTCTTGGTTAATATGCTTATGATCTAATTACATATTTAAGGCCAGGATTTATTTTATTTTCAATTTTACAAACCCTGCGCTCAAGATTTTGAATTTTCAGAAAAAAGTAAAACAATTTTTTTTTCTTTCCGATGTCAAATTTGAGTCGGGATCGAGATTTCAAATTTACGAGCTCGCACTTCCGGTTTTAAGAAGAAACGGCGGGTAAGAAGATAGCTTGGTTTAGTGTAAAATTCATCGATACGAGTGCCATTCAAAAGGTTTCACCCGTTCAAAGGACAAATAAAATGCTGACGACTTTGTTGCACAATGACATGCTGGTGAGATAATTATGTATTCGTTTCAAAAGTAACTGTCTGTAAAATATTTTCCTCACTCAGGTTTTAAACTGCCCGTGGTAGCTATTGCATATTGCCAGCGACATTGTTAAGGTCTCTGTTATAGCTTACAGTCTAAGCATCATTCTTCAGAAAAGGATTGCTTATGCATCAGATGTAATGAATAAAACTATGGGAGAAGTTAAGTCCATTTGAGGAAGAAATAAACAATAACCTGAAGAAATAAAAAAAAATTCAACTTTTAAAAGGCAAGAATATACAAATATACTTAATTGAAAAAATGTTCACCCCGCTCCCCAATACTCCCTGTCTGTTGAATGAAAGGAATTATAATTTTAGGGGTCAAGTAAATTTTCGAACAATGTCTACACATTCACCTAACACATATTATAAAAATGAAGATATATTGAAAGACTTTTAAAGAATTGATTTTTAGCTCTACTGGTCAGAGACCAGAAGAGCTTATGCGATAGTAAGGTGTCCGTCGTCCGTCCGTCTGTCTGTCTGTCCGGCTGTAAACAATTTTTCAAAACGCTACTCCTCCTACAGTTTTGGTCTGATTTCAATATTACTTGGCACACAAGTAGACTACACTAAGATACATAAAATAGTGCACCGGTTTTTGATTTCGGTGAACGGTGTTGCCATGGTTACTAAAAATTGAATTTTCTTTGAAATTCCTTTAAAACGCTACTCCTCCTACAGTTTTAGATCTGATTTCAATATAACTTGGCACACAAGTAGACTACACTAAGATACATTTAATGGTGCATCGGTTTTTGATTTCGGTGAACGGTGTTGCCATGGTTACTAAAAATAGAATTTTCTTTGAAATTCCTTTAAAATGCTACTCCTCCTACAGTTTTGGTCTGATTTCAATATTACTTGGCACACAAGTAGACTACACTAAGATACATAAAATAGTGCATCGGTTTTTGATTTCGATGAACGGTGTTGCCATGGTTACTCAAAATTGAATTTTCTTTGAAATTCCTTTAGATCGCTAGTCATCCTACAGTTTTGGTATGATGGCAATGGCTTCTTTTCTCATCCTTTGTTATAAGTACAAACCAGTAGAGCTACAGTCTCGACAGAGACTTCTGGTTTAAAATATATTTTGATCAACATCACAAAATTTATATAACTGACCCAAACTGGCAGATGATGAAATAAGCAATTAAATGTTCTACTTTCCTATTTGTAAGCATTATGTGTCCAGTGGTCAGGAGCCTATTAGGATAGCATAAAAAAAGAATGATTGCAATAATTGATTTATCAAAAAAAAAATTATTTCCTTCTCCTTTAGGACTTTTTTATTCTCATGTTCATAACTAAACCTAAACATAAAAAAATGCTGGCCTTATAATGAAGAAAGGGGCCTCTTTCAAAATAGATAATTTCAGGGCCGCTGGGTCAGGGGTACCAAGGGGGTACTTTGACTAAAAATAAATTAATGCTTTGAAATCTGCCCTTTGATAAGCAATGGTGCCTCTTTCAAAATTTGTGAATTTCATGGCTTTTGGATTAAAACACGAACCAAATACAATCGCTGGAAAGTTGTTACATGATACTCGGGTGACCTATAAGGCCCGTGGGCCTCTTGTTTTCTTTCCGAAGTCAAATTTGAGTCGGGATCGAGATTTCAAATTTACGAGCTCGTACTTCCGATTTTAAGATGAATATGGCGGGTAAACAGATCTTTAAAGTTCATAGCAGCACCATATTTGGTTTAGTGTAAAAAATTATTGATAGGAGTGGCATTCAAAATGTTTCGCCCGTTCAGAGGACAAATAAAATGCTGACGACTTTGTTGCACAATAACATGCTGATGAGATAATTATGTATTAGTATACAAAAGTATCTGAAGAGCAAATCCTTTATTTTAGAATGTGAAGAAGGAAAATATGGTTTGAACTGCAGTAACAGCTGTGGGAATTGTCTTGATGATACACCGTGCCACCATGTAAACGGTACTTGCTTACAGGGTTGTTCAAGTGGATACCACGAGATGTTATGTACTCAGAGTAAGCGATAATTCTTATTGACTGGAATAAAGTTAATAACAATGTCTATATTTTATCATCTTGGTGGGTTAAAATGTACTACGCGTCCCATTGGCTGTTTTTTTTTTATGGAAATGTACATGTAATTATTTAATTCTAATATATAATATTGCCTCTACAGTGCTCTACTGTCTGAGTATTTTCTAAACTACGAATATACTCTGTATTTTGGGAAAAATGAAGCATTTCAATTCAATAAGAAGGCATCCAGAATAAGTGTATGTTATAACAAATTTGACAATTCGTTTATCAGATTCAATAATATTTTTCGATAGGTCCTAAATGGGCTTCCGTACCAAAGTGCTTTTGTCAATAGGACTCTCGGTACAATTAAGGAATGAATTAAATAGCGACCCCAGTTATACTGTATAACCTGGGTTGTTATTTTAAATTCATTTTTTATTATTTTATTTTCAATCATTAAGTAAAAGAAAACGTCTTCAAACTGTGCAAATTTAAAACGAAATGTCAAGCAGATTGATAAGTTTTTGACGCAAGTCATTGTGACGTTGGAAACCCAGGTAATACACGTTAGATTGTTTTTATCCAATTAAATAACGCGTTACAAAACTTTATTTTTAACATTTAAACATTCTTGGTCACTCTTATTCATCTTTAAACTTTTTATAAAAATTGAGGAGTTATATTTAGAAATAGTTTTGTATTTTTTCATCATTCACATATTATATTATTATTAATAAAAACAACTATATATTTTTACACCTTTTCATTCCTTAAGGACAGATGATACAAACAAATTTTATCATTGGAGGAGACTTAATATCATGTTACAAGTTTTGAAAATTGGATAATTCTTAGAATTTTTTCTCCTAAGAATTGGAAAATGAAATAGACTTGGAAAAAATTAGTAATATTTCAATAAAATTATGAAAATGGATAAAACACACACAGTAAAGGTTTACAGGTGAAAACAAATTTCAGAATATGTTAGCTTGGTGCAAAAAATATAATATAAACAATAGAAAAAATTCTAAGATTCATCCACTTTTCTAAACTTGTGACATGATACTTAGTCTCCTCCAAAGAAAAAAATTGTTTGTATCATCTGTCCTTAATTAGTTTGTCTTCGGTCGTATTGGGGTGTAAATTGTAACCAGACCTGTAGCACTGAATGTATAAGTCAAACTTGTCATCATGAATCAGGAGTCTGTTTGACGTCATTTCAGGTGAGTTGTAACTTGAGTTACAAAATATATGGTATAATACAATTCAGAAAATTGATCTAAACTGAACTAATTTACATGATAAAATATTTTCTAATTCGATCCCTGTCTATACGTTGTTTTAAGAGTTCTGTGTTCTATTTTGCACACCTACATGTATTATGTGGAAATGGAAAAACACATGCCAAAAATATATTTGTCGTTGATAACGGTCCAGCAGTGGCATAAAGTTATTAATAAAAGAATTGATTCATTGAAAACAGTCGCAGGTACATATACTTATAAGTTTTAAAAGTTATTTTAAAAATCTGTTATTTTAGAAGATGCCTGACACGCATGCCCTCGATCACACAACTATCATAATATGTGTTGTAGTCTCGCTTTCCATTGTATTCATCGGAAGTGTCTTAAACTTTCTCATCTGGAGGCGGAATCGGAGTGAGTATATTTTGTATCTGTGATGATGGACCAGGTCTTTCTGAGTGATGTGTCTTCAGAGTATACTACAAGTAGAATTAAAACTAAATTAGGAATATCAAATTTTGGTAACTATCCATGAATAATAAGTGATTTGATTATGTAATATTTCCTAGTGCTTAATCCTTTTAAGAATTAGAGGTATGATTTAGATGTATACGACCGTATAAAAGACGTGTTTCCCTTACGTCCCATGGCAAACTATTTCTTGGGTCCGACAAAACGCATGTTGCTTTCAAGTCTAGATAATAAGGTTTATTTTGATTCATAATAAAATGTTCATCGTGTAATTTATACATATATTTTACAGATAAAGCTATGGAAACCAGCAAATTCGGACCAAAAATTAATTTAAACGAACTGTCATCTTCACAACTTGCAGGTAAAATATATTCAAATGATTATAAAAAAGTAATATACAGTGTATTTTTAATGGATTTATTCCGGTATTATGTTATTCAATACGTAATATTTTTTGAAGGGAAATGAAATATTACTCTATTTTTACCGATCTCCCAAAGCAGAAGTGAAATCACAAACTAGTATATCTGTTTAGGGTTTGAAGTGTTGAAAATTGTCTTTCCGAAAAACCAAATCTGAGATGCTTAGTTTACAATGTAGCAGATGTGTTGAATTTGATCGATATATTAAAATATTAAAAGAAGGGGATGTTAACCTAGGCTGTTTTGCGACCTAGCTAGTAGGAAGACAAGCGTTTTTTTTTCCTTCAAAAAATTAAGAAATATTTCAAAACACTGAGGCAACTTGTCTGAGATAATAAAAACTGATGTATAGACAGAAAGACAGCTGGACAGTCGATCGATGGACAATTTCTGATTTCTGAACAAATGGTCACATTATGATCAGTTTTCCTTTATTATTTTCAGATCAAAATATGGAGAGAGATAAGTATGCAATAATATTTTTTTATCTTCACTTCTATTTTTACTATCCTTTAAAGGATTATTCACTTTGACAAAAGAAATAACCTATAGGATTTTGATAATCTGCTTCAAATTCATACCTATAAATATTATTGTCAGACAGGCTCAGTTGATATATGCGCTTGCTTTTACAATTTGCTAACTAACATTTTAAAGTCGGGGGTTCAAATCCACCTGTAACCACACTTTTAAAGTTTTAAATTTTCGACTTTTCAAAGACTATTTTAGTGTTTTTGATAGACTCGTGTATTTTCCTTTAATTATCTATCCTTTATGCATGCCCATTCTTGATATAAGAAACACTAAAGAGATATCAAACCGTAAAAATCCAATGTACTGTTGTCAGTCAGGCGGAACAAACCTCAGTATAAGCACACGTTCTCCGAGGACAAGAATTACTCACTCTGTGTTACTCATTACAGGTATTCTTGGCAGCAATTAGCTGCGATGAATGTCAATTGTATATATTCCTTAGAATTTAATTACATTGATTTTGGCTACATGTTTCAGTAACTGTGCTCCTTCGGATTAGATTTAGGCCTATATAAATTGCAAATATTAATGGCATCTTTTATTATATTCACGGATAAAATAGCCTAGACATAAAGAATAGAACTTCAGAGGCAGTAAACATTATCACTATGCACATCGAGAAGTTAAATTATTATTATTCTACTTTTATATTATAGCGCCCTATATAATTATGGAATTACCCTAAAGCGCTTTACACGTAGAAAACAATTACAATATACAACAAAAGACGGGTACAATATAAATCAAAGTACTGAACGTACTCATGGGAGTTGAACATTGTTATCTGAAGGATCTCACGGGAAGTATAGGAACAGTTTCATGCGTTCAGATTCAAGTCAGCTAGAACTGATTTGTTAGAGATACAACACGAAACATTAAAAAAAATTCTATTGCATTTGAATAGCCAAGATCATGGGACTGCTCTCAAATTAGCTGCAGAACTGTAGCTGTCCGTAAAAAGATTTTGACAGACCTGAGAGCTACAGTGCCATATATTGAAAAAAAAATGTATATTTATTGCGCACGAACAGTTAAGTTTAGTTCTAGATTTATTCTTTCTAATTCTTACCTCAACAATTTGACCAAACCAAACCAAACAAACAACCCTCACCACCAAAAAAAAATTTCAAAACTCGAAAATACTATTTTGTGGGTAGGTTTCAAACTTCTTTCAGTACCATTTCTTACTCAAACTCAAACACAACCCTTATATTTCTGGAGCATTTGAATCAAACTCTCTTTAGAATGTGTACAAGATATTTGGTCCCAAGAAACAAACTAACAAACACTCTTTATATTCAATGTTACCATCACCAGACACTAGATTGTCATTTTTTTTTCCTCTGATTAAAATAAGTATTTGCTATTCTCTTTTGGGTGTGAATGTTTCTTTTCGGAAATAATAATTAATTTTTATAAAACTCCGTGCCAGTTTCTTTTTTATCAAATGTATCTATCTTTATAACTTAATCATCAAGTTTTGTTATTCCATAATTTTAAATTTCATTTCAAGTAATTTCTATATAGAAGTGAGTATCTGAATACTTTACATTTTGTTTGTTTTGCGTTCGATAATTTTTTCAATTATATTGAGAAAGTACCACTTGTCGATGGAGCTAGCTACATGTAAGTCTACAAATTTTTACCTATACACGGCACTCAAAACCATTGAGTAGTGAGGGATCGTTTTGTGCAAGCACATACTGCCACATGGGATTTCGGTTTATATTATGGTCTCATCAAAAGAGTTTATCTCCAGATGCATCCCACAGGATGCGAACCTGCGACGTAAGGATCAATTAACGCCTTACTTTGAATCTCTAGAGCAAACTCTTTTAACAACTGCGCCACGCGAGTGACTCTTAAAGTTTGTGATTTTGGTTTGATTCAAATGTAATTAAAAATCAGACAGTTTAACGAGCTACTACAAGGAAAAAAACAGTTGTAATCATGAGGAACGATCTTTCTCACAGATCGATCATTGGGATTATTATACCATTGTGTCCGTGCATACGCATTTATTAATCAATTTTAACTGTTTTAATTATATAATAAAATCAAATGATACATTTTATAAGGTAATACTGCAATGCAAGTACATACACATTTTTTAAGTTCAGATTTGGTGTTGTACACGTGACCAACTGAATACTGATAAACTCATGAAATAAAGGATGTAAATTTACTTTCATTTGAAATTGTGAGATTCGAATATCAACAAACTTTAATGCTATTATTTTTTTCCTTTACCCACGTAAAAAAATGAGTTGCATGTAACTGGTCTGACAAACATTTTCCAGTCTAACAGATCATTTTACTTGTCAGAGCAAATAAATGTCTGACAGTGATATTTTCCATATAGTAATTTTTTTTTAAAAAACTAACGTTGTTCTGTCTCTTTATTGCTGAAACAAATTGAAAGAAGTTCGGTTAAACCTTAGCGTTCCTTTGACCTTACATCTTTGTTTACATCTCTATATTTAGACAATCGCGTCATTGTCAAACCAGTTAGACCAGTTGTTGCTCCTTTGATGACTTCGCACTTTTTGTAATGCAGCGTAGAAGAGTCAGCCGAGGATTGCCGAATGATAAATGATAAATGACAGGACTTTTTTTGATGACGGAAATCAAAATCTACGAGTTATTTCTCAAGAGAGATGACAAAAATATGCTATTCAAATTAAGTTAAATAAAATTCTTTTTCATTTACTTTCAAATCAATTATGAAAATTAGATTAATTCAGAAAAATGAGATGGACTATTTTTAGTGCTGAAGTTTCTTCGAGTTTATATAGACTGATGCGAGTTTGTATTGAATATCACAGGGGAGTAAATTGGGCGACACAGAAACAGCACGACAGCCGCTATATAATTCATTGTAAAATTACTGCGCTAGAAACTGCGTGGCAGCCTAGGGAGTCTGAACATAGTTCAACTCCCAAAAAGCAAAAAAGGTAAAATTATAGCGCATAAAACAAATATCAATTATTACATTTTGAGATAACAAACTCAAATCAATGAAAGGGTTCCTCCTACCTCTACCCGATGAAAAAAAGTTTAAGAAAAACAAATTGTCATATGTATTCAGCCTAATGCCATTAATCAGATCGGAAATCAACAAGGTTTTTTGTAGAGAAAAAACCAAGCCCGATCATATAGGTCAAATCCCTATCTATAATGAATTTATCCTTTAAAACCATTTTATTATATAATTTTATATGAAACCTTTCACAGGACTTCCTCACCTTATGCAGAGCTTGGCGCCCTCGACAAATCTGACACCTACGAGGAACTTCACGTCTATGCTGACCATGAAGAGAAAAATTGATCCAGTTTTACGTGTAATGCACTTTAAATATAGTTTCCCTTGTTAACACTGTTAAATTTTGCCAAGGTATCATTGTTTTGTTATATACATTTCATTTTCTATCTGAGGTAACTGATTTAATTTCATTCTGTAAGTAAGGTTACTTAAAAAAAGTAATTTCAAAGCTTGTTTTATGTACTAGACGAATAAGACAAAAATAAGGATATGCTATTTTAACCTTTCAAGTTTTACTTCTTGCAGAAATATTTGCTTACATTGTAAGTAGATTTGTAAGCTTTTTTTTAATGGCGGTTAATTGAAATCCTATTAATAAACATGAAATGCAATTCATAATGAAATGTCTTATAATTTTTCTATTTTGATAACTTGTGTTCATTTAACTTACAGGATGCATGCATAAATTAAGTTCATATTTGAAAGTTTCAATGGATTATAATGTTTGTTTTAGAATAACTGCGAAAAATATATTATACATCTATTTAATGGCTGTGAGGACAATAGCAATTTTATCGTCCCCCAGGACAGCAAACTATTTTGCTATTGTCCGAATAGTCAGTTAATAGGTGTTTACTTATACCAATGCTGACTGAACTTTTGTTACGTCATAATATATACGTCACAATCCGTATAAAATCAGACTTTTTTGTAGATGAAAAGCGTGGAAAACAAAATGCTGCCTGTGAAAAGTTTGATGACTATTTCACCATGGGCAGATAGCACTAAAACTAGTTCACGGTAGGGGCTGTTTGGATAAGATAGCATGTTTATTCGTCAATTTTTTTATATAGAACAAATTCACAGACGTATAATTGAACATTATATTTTGTTCTTCTTATTTAAAACAAATTAATACTTATTGTATTCTGAAAGAAGCTGTGCTTATCTGAAATGTAAATAAAAAAAAGTACTGTATAATAATCTATGTAAGTGAAACTGAAGTTTAAGGATTAATTATAATAGTTTAAATATTGAATAATATGGAATATCACGTTGAATTGTTTATATTCTGATGATCCTGTGTGGCTAAATTTGGGTTGTTTTATTTATCCTTTGTTAAATAATGTTAAAAATAAAAGTATTTGATCTAGAATTACAAAAAAAAAAATAGAAAATAGAATTGTTACGTTTTGATCAATAACCTAATACACTAAACTAATTTCTGGCTTTTTTTAAGAAGTGGGTAAAAATAATTTTTTAAAATAGAATTAGATTACAAGAACAGTCCTACAAAATATGCTTTACCTGCAATGACAACACAAAATCGGAAACTTTGTTTAAAAATACCAAGTTTTAGTGTTATTGGCCCAATCCAGGAGACTCGATTAAAATATTTCAATGTTGGGTACAAGATAATATCTTTTTAGCAGAAATTTTAGCGAGGATTTAATTTTGGAATTAACTAGCCATAGCGAGGGTTAGGAGATCGCTAAAATTGAATATCGTTAAAATTTAATGCGTTTTATTTGTATTAGGTATTACGAGAGCATTTTAAAATCGCTAAAATTACATCTCAGTAATAAAACTATACCAGTTTTTAAGGAATAATCACTAATTTTGCACCTCGCTAAAATTTCCACTTTTACGGTATGATAAATCGAAGTACATGTATTTATTCAACTTCATGATAGATATGAAAAAAAAAAATGAAAAATTATTTAAACAATGATAAATTGAAATTTAATCATGTATTCAAAGTCTTTTGATTTTTTTTACTGGATGCTTCCCTTCTGCTGAATTTTAATTAATTTTAATTAACTAATTTAAATTTGCGAAATTTTGTTCTAAATAGTTAAACAAAATGTATCAATTTTTCGAAAAGCATAAAAAGCGTTATAAATATTTTTCAGAACCATATTTTCATTAGTTGTTATTCAACTTTTACTATTTACTAAGTATAGGACTGTAATATTAATTTTCTTTTCGTAGACTTTTTTTCTCTTATCTAGTGGTATTTTTTTTAGAATATTAAAATGTTTTGTAAATAAATCTTTGTGTTGAATTTTTCCTTAATACAAAAGAGATAATTTTGTTGATAAATGGAGGCAGACACATAAGATTTTTTTAAAATCTCCTAGGTAAACACATACTGATAATATTAATTTTAAAAATCTTCATTGCACACCTTGCATTATTTGTTTAACACACACAGAGATATGAAATCTCCCCTTTTTTATCTACACTTCCTCGTCTCTACTTAAACAAAGCTATCGGGATATCAGTGTGCGACTTCTGTCATTGACGTATCTGCACTATAAGGTAAGATCCAAAATATTTCTGTTTATATTTTACTATTACATAACCCATAACCATTATTATCCAAGAATTAAACTGAATTGAAATCTAAGTGCGGATACTTAAATAATATTAAGAACTTTATCATTATATGTTCCTTAAGGCATATCAATGTAACAAAAAGCAGTATGTCCTTTTCGAATTTTAACCAATTATAAGGTCAATTTCTTGAAAAGAAACCTTTGCATATTGTATCATTCAATTTTAATGAATTAACCTCTCAGCGACATTGCAGAGTAGCTCTCTAGTTGAAAAACATACTTTCTTTTTCTTGGTTTTGTCTCCCCACCCGGGGGTCATGCTTTTAAAGTATAACATTTACACGGCCCCGGGATGCTTGCGCATTAATTCCAGCATTCCTGGTCCAGTTGATCTTGAGGAGAAGTTGTAAATGCGAACAGTTTACAGACGGACGGCAACTGCTAAGGAGTAATCAGAAAAACTCACTTTATAGCTTTCAGCTCAGTTGAGCTAAAATATAATTAGAAAGATCACACATGAAGAAGCTTGGTTCTCCCTATTGTTAGAATAGGGATTGGCATAGTCGATTATCAACTCGTACTGGACCACATTATCCTGCTTATTGCAAAGACGGTGCGCTCATGAATTTGCATAGTTTTATATTCCTGATCGTTACACTGCATGGACAATGAAGATTTCATTAACATCCAATATACCACAAGGATAATTGACATTTTCACACGTCATCTTCTCATAGAATAAAACATGAAAATACCTCGGATCCGGCCTGTCGAATACATTTCTTCGTTAAATGGGTCAGGGTTTGCCTTCAAAGTAATGAAAAGTTATTATACAGAAATAGAGCCTAAGGTAAATTATCTTTGTGTATTGTAAGTTTACGAATAAATTTATTATATGACCTCTAAGATTCTCCACAAACAAAAAAAAAATGGCAAAAGTGATCCACTGAAATTCAAAAATGTTTGGTACATACATGTTTATAATGCAACCATAAAAAGTTTTCATCAGATAAACCCGTAGAACAATTCATACGTTACCTGGATATGAGTTAATTATTTTTTAAGGAATGAATAGAAAATCGGTTGCTTCTGAACAACAGAAACGGTATATATCTCCCCAAAGCTAAAAAGCATTAAAAAGCCTGTACCTACAAACAATCTTGCTTTAAAAATATATTATCTAAACCCTGGTAATTTTAAAGAAGTGATGTATGTGTTTTATTTTGCAGGCATTTGTTGTCAATATGGAGTATTTTGGTGCTATGAGGATGTTCAGAATTGCCCTGTTCCTCTCATGTGTTGCATATACTTCTGCGATTGGTAAGAGAAAAACAATTGGAGATAACCTATTCTATTGGTCAATTTCATTGAATCACCTTTTTATCTATGGTACTTTCTCCCTGAGAAGGAAATAACTTTAAGGGACTTATTTTTGCAGGATACCAGTGTTACAGACCTCAGAATAGAATATTTCTCCATTAATTAAACCATGAAGCTCTTTTGTAACCTTAACGGTTTAGATTTATTGTAATTTTACATTTTCTTTACAAGAAAATTTAGCTTTAAATAAACAAGCATGGCAGGCGCACAACTGGACCGGTAAGGAAACAGAATGGGGAGCATCGAAGGCAGTGGATGGACAATATTCAAACCGTGCTGCAGGTGGAAACCAGTGTACCATATCAGCGGATGGACAACAGACAGCAGAATGGAGGGTAGATCTTGGAAGAATTGTCAGCATTAGTTATATCGACATCTTTTACAGGACTGATAATGTTCGTAGTATGTACACCGTTAAAACATTCTAAATGAACAGAAAGATTGCAGTGATGGAAATGGCTAAGCGCCTAAAATTCTTCTTAAATTATAATTTCCTTTTCAATTCGTATATGCACCATCTATTACTATGAAATCAGTTACCTTTTAAGAAAAAAAAATTACTTTGCTTATAGAATGTCTAAATAATGGACTTTTACGAGAAGCGCTAACTTTTACGAAAAGCGCTGACGGGCAATTTCAAAGCACATATACGTTGTCCTTACAGAAAACGTCAACCATTCTACCCTTAACTCCCCACCTTCACGTGTTAGTGCCCCTAACACCATTACTATAACCACTAGAAAGGTTTTCTTAGCTATTATCAATTTTGTACCTCCGTACAATACAGGTTTAAATGTCCAAGTAAACAGTCAACTGTAAAAGTCAGTGCTTCTCGTAAAAGTCCAATGTGAGTAGCTTTTCAACCATATTCAATTTACATAGTACATTTAAAAGATGATATTGAATAAATGACAAAGAATATGTTCCCAAAAATAATTACAGATGTGGATGAATATTTTAAAAATTTGATTAAGAAATATGAAATAGTCCACTAGTTGTTATTTTCTTTTTTTAAAAAAACTTTTAAGTAATCAGTAAATGTACATTCTACATATAATATTAATAATGTTTCAGATTAAAGTAAGTTAAAAAGCTCTGAATGAAATTGATATTTTTGAAATTATCGATTCACTACCAGGTATTTACAACAAAAAACCCAAAACGGTGTTTCAAACATAATATACTTTGTTTATTGGAAAGAATACTAGCATTAGAATTAACCCATACTTCATACAATTGTTGTATCTTGAAGTTAGCAAAGTCTTTTATTTAATCTACATACATTTCATAGCTTTAATGTCAATAATCTCTGATCTGAAGATTTAACCGTTTCAGGTCCCGGTGCGTTTTACGATCGTTTCGCCGGCTTTTTCCTCTACGTCTCCAATACTACTTCAAAGGAGAGCGGGAAGACATGTTTCCACGAATTGCAAAATGTGAACGGTACGCCAACGGAAGACCAGAGAATCAGTTGTTCTGTGTATGGAAGATATGTCATTTACTTCAACCAGCGAATCCAAAGCATTCGCTACCCTGAATACTATTCTGATTATGCATACGATGAATTGTGCGAAGTAAAAGTATTTGGTAAGTTCTATCTTATTGTAGTTTACACTTCATGTATATATTCTATAGTGACCAGTTATATTTGAACGATTTGTTATTCTGTATATTTGACAATACACAAGGTATATTGATTAATTTGCCTCGCTTTTTTAAAAGGCTGTCCTGTGACTGGATACTATGGAGAGAATTGCACCAAAACCTGTCCACGTAACTGTTTGGGACAGCAGTGTGACGCCGTTACTGGTGACTGTTTTATTGGATGTATACAAGGATTTCAAGGCCCACACTGTAGTTATTGTAAGTTATGTCATTTTCATCAAATTCTCCGTCCTAAAAGATATTTTCTTCCTGATTTTTTTCTTGATGATTGACTTCGTCAATGATTTTGATCTTCCATGTGTTATATCGTGTAACATTTTTAATTTTTCTAAATAATCTATTCACAAGATAATTTTGCCCTGCGGAGACCAGCATGGCAGGACCATGATTACCCAGGTCATTCTGCAGACTGGGGAGCAGCTAAGGCAGTAGATGGGAAGTATTATAACCGCTCTGTATTGGGAAAACAATGTACAATATCGGCAAACGATCAAGTAACGGCAAAATGGTATGTAGATCTAGGGAGGATAGTCAGCATCAGTCACATCCACATCTACTACAGGACTGGTAATAAACCTAGTAAGTGTGATACATGTACTTGTCAGCTATTGTTACTTGAAAATCAGACATAACTTTGATGTTATTCTTTACGTTCAGAGTTTTTTCTCAAAGCATAATACAAAAATACAAAAAAAATTGCAAGTATTAAATTTATTAAATTTTGGAAAAATACTCCTGTGCATTTTCTTCTTTAATGAAATTGCCATTTGTTGTCCCCCGCTTTCGCGAAAGCGAGGGGACATTAATTCGTCTGTCCGTCCGTCCGTCCGTCTGTCCGTCCGTCACAAAATCTTTAACCTTGCCCATAACCTTTGATTTAGTGGAGCTATGACTTTCATATTTCACACGAGTATTCCTTGTGACAAGGCCTTTCTTTGGGTACCACCAAATTTGACCTTTTGACCTAGAACTTGGAGTTTGACCCACTTTTACACAAAAATTCCAAGCCTTTACTTTGGCCATAACTTTTGAATGGTAGGTACTAGGACTTTCATATTTCCCATATGTATTCTTTGTGGCAAGACCTTTCATCGGATACCAACAGCCTTGGCCTTTTGACATTGACCATGGAGATTTACGTACTTAATATGTAAAGTGTTTAACCTTGACCATAACTTTTGAACGGTGAGGTCTTAAGCTTTTGTACTTCGCATATGTAATTCTTGTGAGAAGACCTTTCAATGGATACCAAGAACTTCTACCGTTTGACCTTGACCTTGGAGTTTTAACTACTTTAAAAAACTTTGACTTTGGTCACAAATTTTGAACGGTAGATACTATGACTTTCATATTTCACATATATGTTCTTTGTGGCAAGACCTTTAATTGGATATCAACAACTTTGAACTTTTGACCTTGACCTTAAATATTTACGTACGTATGAAAAAACTTTAACCTTGACCATAATTTTTGAACGGTAAGGGCTTCCATACCTCTCATATGTAATCCTTGTGAGAAGACCTTTCATTGGATATCAACAACTTTGACACTTTGATCTTGACCTTAGAATTGACCTACTTTTAAAAAACTTTAACTTTGGCCATAACTTTTTAACGGTCAGGATTAGGGTTTTCATCCTTCAAAACAATCAACTTCAATGATAATTTCTAAATAAATGACATATGATAGGATGTTCATATTAAACACAATATGTCATAAAAAAAATAATATCTCACCCACAAAGACACCGAAAGCGGTGGACCACAATTTTTTGAATTTGCTTGTTTGTTTTTTGTTAAATTAGTAGTTCGATCCACTTTAATTGCATGCCAACTTTAATAATAGATGCAACTTTTCCTTGACATCATAGTTGTTGACAAAGAATAAACAATATCATTTCATTTTATTTAGGTCCTGGTGCATTCTACAGTCGTTTTGCTGGATTTTTCGTGTATGTTTCAAACGATACTTCTACGGACAACGGAATTGAATGTTTTCATGAAATACAAAATATTACCGGTACACCCACAGAAAACCAAACAATAAGTTGTCCATTTAACGGACGTTATGTGATATACTACAACGAGAGGAGAGCTGGCGTACACTATCCAGTTTATTACTCCGAACATGCTTTTAATGAATTGTGTGAATTTGAAGTTTATGGTGAGTATTGTATTTTCTGTTACTACATGAATAGTAAACTTTATCGTCATAAAAGTTTTAAGAGAAATGAGTAATGAAAACATTAAAACAATTTTTATGCTTTAACAGGATGTCCTAACTCTACATACTATGGAAATTATTGCGAACAATTGTGTTCGGAGAGTTGTCTTGGACAGAGATGTAATTTCTTAACAGGAAACTGTCTCATGGGATGTTCAAGGGGATATAAGGGGCCTCAGTGTAGACAAAGTAAGTAATAAATTGGTTCACAGGTTTTTTTTATGTATGTAATAAATATTATATTAAGTTTAAAGCTGAAACAGACATAAAAGCCTAGTTAAAGTATATACAAGTCTCAACTGTATTAACAGACTAATGTATTTGTTATTCATTTTTAATAAAACCTTACCACTTAAAGTAATAAAATATATACATGTGTACATTGTGTTTGTCAATTTGTTTTCTTTTCTGCATTGCATGTATTTGTTTTGATAAGTTGTAATATAAACATCATAGTAAATAGTAATTCAAACAATTCAAAGGGCGAAAGTTTTTTTTTTCTTAAGGTTTCACCAAAGGTTAACTTGTCCAAAAATTAATTTTTACAATAGCTCCAGAACTATGTGGTTTATAAAGTTAAAACCTTCACAGTTTATAAATATATCATTGATTATCACATAGAAAGTATCAATTAATAATAAATACGTAAAAAAAAATTATAGAGAAAAATTCTTTTAAAAAATGCATATATATGTGAAGATATGAAACCGAAAGTACATTGCAAATGGCGGATTTTATGTTGGACTTCTTTGCAACAATAGTAAGAAAAACAATATTGTCAATGTTTAATTAAGATAAGTGTCAAGTTTTTTTTTCTCAATCACGTAAATAACGTTTTTGTTGCATTGCAAAAACGCCATCTAAAATGGTAAACACATTTGGCATATATGATTTTCTGCGAATAGACCTTGACATGTAGATGTATAAAACAGAAGAAAAATCATTACAGTTAGCTTTTTATATGAGATTTACATAATATGGGGAACCTTTTTGTAGAGTGTACGGGTGGAACATACGGATTGAAATGTAACAAAACCTGTGGACACTGTTCTGACGAATCACAATGTTATCATGTGAATGGTTCATGCGTAAATGGATGTTCTTCAGGATATAAAAGTCCTCTTTGTAACACAAGTAACTGATTTACAGCGTTTTCAGTTACATATATTTTGTTGCATTATTACACCAGCTAATGATTTTATTCTACTTTTAAGAATAAATAGTGAATACATGTACATATGATTATTTTTCTTGCATTTATCAAAAGTTCTTATATTCACGTGTTAACTCATTAATATTTTTTGAACGTGTTTAGGATTTGATCATAAAAATATCAATATATTTAAAGAATGTGACAGAGGTTATTTTGGTGACGCCTGTAGGCAGACTTGCGGTCATTGTATTGGTAACGCACCGTGTCATCATATCAATGGTTCCTGTCTGCAAGGATGTTCTGCCGGATACGAGGGTCCTCTCTGTAAAAAACGTAAGAATTAGGGATGTTAAGTACACTTGCTAAAACGAAAATGGACATACACGAGGGATTATCTAAAAGTTGGTGGACTGAGGCTATAAAATTGGAACTATGTAGTCTGTGCCTTTAAATTTTATATGGAACATAAAACAACAAAAAAAAAATAAAGAAATGTACATGCTTGGGGCCATCTTCGAAATACTGTTTATTTTCTTAGGCTCTTCTGTCGAATAATTGGGTCAGTTTAATGTATGTATGTTCTCTCTAATGCAATCTTTGAAGAATCAGAAAATAATCATTTTCATACTATTTAAGCATGGAAGAATTCCGAAAAGCAAATAGTCATTCAAGTGAGAATAATACATTATTTGAGTCAATATAAAAAAATACTTCTTATAGAATGTGACGAAGAAAAGTATGGATTGAAGTGTAACAAAACTTGTGGACACTGTTCTGACGGACCACAATGTCACCATGTGAACGGATCATGTTTAAATGGATGTTTAAAAGGATATAAAAGTCCCCTCTGTATCAAAGGTACATCTAACTCATTTCCATCGACTTTTGGGGACCGACTATGGTTTCCATTGCGCAATATTTCGCGCAACATAGACTATGATGCGTAGTAAAACGAAGCGTATTTACGGGTTGAAAGCATTTTTTTTTTCTTAATTAAAAAAGATGTCGAAACTGAGAGATTACTTTAAAAGAATTGATGACAATTTATGTTACCACGATTTTTCATACATGTATGATACGACGACTGCTCATCAACGTCGTAATAGAGTGTTCTGGAAGTTATGATTATGTGAAGTCTGAAATCTCTTTTTAAAAAAGATAATATAATGTTACAAAAGAAAAAAAGAAAAATAATACGCTCTTGAGATTTAAAACATAGAAAACCTCTCCATCGTTTTTATTAGTTTTGTATGTATCCTTTGTATCCGTTATATTTTGTAGTACTCTGTCAGAACCGGAAAATTCGTTAGGATGAATTCTCTGGAAACAGGACAGTTGAACTTTTTGTTTCTTTTATATTATATGAAATTTATTTTCAATCATCGTAAATTATGGTTTGATCAAAATTTCTGTAGAAGTCTTTGTAAAATTTGCTTTAATGTGCGAGAAATTTGCATTTTCCCATATACATGTAACCAGGTAACCTAGAGTAATTGTACCTCTTTTTAAAGACGTCACTTAAAAATACCTGGATCATAGATTTTCCCAAAATTTGGCATACGCACTGAAGTCAATGTAAGTTATATATGGTATAATAGTAAAGAGTTTCTCTATTTTAGTTTTTCACTCAATAAAACTCCAGTCGGCTCCCGCAAGCTACTTATATTTTGTAGCATTACTATAACAACAAATGATTTCATTGCACTGTTAGGAATAAAGAGTAGATGAATTAATCAAATTCACTTGTTAAGCCACTAGTAAATTATTTTAAGACGTGTTTTGGATTTGACTCTAAAAACCCAATACTATCTTTTAGGATGTGACAGTGGATTTTTTGGTGACGCCTGTAGGCAGACTTGCGGTCATTGTATTGGTAACGCACCGTGTCATCATATCAATGGTTCCTGTCTACAAGGATGTTCTGCCGGATACGAGGGTCCTCTTTGTAAGAAAAGTAAGAATTATGAATATTAAGAAAATTTCCTAAAGACGAAAATAAATGTATACATGATATGGGGCCAGCTATGAAATAATGCTTATTTGCTTAGTCTCTTATCAAATCATTGGGTCACTTACATTTATGTATGTTCGCTCTAATTCAATCTATGAAGCGTCAGATAATGATCATTTTCATACCATTTAAGCATGCAAGAAATCAAAAAAGCAAATTAGTCATTCCGATGAGAATAATGCATTATTAGAGTTAATATAAGCAACATACTTCTTATAGAATGTGACATAGGAAAGTATGGACTGCAGTGTAACAAAACCTGTGGACACTGTTCTGACGGACCACAATGTTACCATGTGAACGGATCGTGTTTAAATGGATGTTCTCCAGGATATAAAAGTCCTCTCTGTATCACAGGTACTTCTAACTGATTTCCATCCACTTAAGAGGGCCGACTGGGTTTTTCATTGCGCAATATATCGCGCGTCATCGGAATCGAGCCGTATTTACTGTTTTAAAAAAATTTTTTTACTGAATTAAAAAAGATGTTGACAAAATTAAAAAAATACGGATTGCACATTTTAATTACAACTAATGTAACTGATTTTAAAGACGATCTTTCAAATGTTAGGTACACTGACGTCGTAAAAGTGTGTTTCTGACGTTATGATAACGTTAAGCTCTTAAAGTAGGGATAATTAAAATGTTATTGAAGAAAAAATAAATTAAAAAGTATATGCTACTGAAATTTTAAACATAGAAATGTGAGAATATCTCCATCGT